CCCCCCCCTTTAAAGGTCCCATTTCCGAGGGATTTATGGGGGGGAGGGGCGTTCCCACGGGTGGGGGAGGGGCCGGTCGGGGTGGGGGAGGGGCGAGGGGTGGGGGAGGGGTCCCCCCACCCTTGAGCTTCTCCCCGAACATGGTGAGGAAGACGGTGAAGTTGATGGGGCCGCTCGCCTCCTTGATCATCGCGTCCAGCTCCTCGTTCTTCACGTTCAGCCGCCCTGCAGGGGGCGCCCTAGGTGCACTCAGGCCACGCCCACAGAGCCACGCCCCATTAGGACACGCCCCTTCGCCCCCAAGCCCGGCCCCGCCCCTCCAAACCCCGCCCACCCCCTCCCAGTTCAACCAAACCAAGCCCCTCCCACTCCCTCCAAGCCCCTCCCCTTCACTCCAGGCCCCTCCTACTCCCTTTAAGTCCCTCCCCCTTCCATCCCAAGCCCCTCCCACTGCCTTTAAACCCCTCCCCTTCCCTTAAGCCCCTCTCCTTCCCTTAAGCCCCTCCCACTCCCTCCAAGCCCTTCCTCTTCCATCCCAAGCCCCTCCCACTCGCTCCAAGCCCCTCCCCTTCACTCCAAGCCCCTCCCCTTCCCCTTAAGCCCCTCCCACTCCCTCTAAACCCTTCCCACTCAACCCAAGCCCCTCCCACTCCCTCTAAGACCGTCCTCTTCCATCCTAAGCCCCTCCCACTCCCTCCAAGCCCCTCCCCTTACCTTAAGCCCCTCCCCTTAAGCCCCTCCCCTTCAATCCAAGCCCCTCCCTCCCTCCCCTCTCCTCCCTCCCCTCCCCCACCCCACTCCCTCCCAACCCCCTCCCCCTCCCTCCCAGCCCCTCCCATTTTTTCCCAGGCCCCTCCCCCACCCCCTTGGCCCCTCCCCCACCCCCTTGGCCCCTCCCCCTCCCCCACCCATGGCGGCGAAGGTCTCCCTGAGATCATCCTTGTCGATGATCCCGTCCCGGTTCTGGTCGATCACCGTGAACGCCTGGAAGGGGGGAGGGGGAGGGGCCTCAGAGGAGGGGGAGGGGCCTCAGAGGAGGGGGAGGGGCCTCGGGGCTCGTGGGAACCCGCCCCTCCCCCGCCCGCCCCGATCATTGAAAAATATCCCCAAAAATAAGTTGGGGGGGGGAGGGGCCTCAGAGGAGGGGGAGGGGCCTCAGAGGTGGGGGAG